GGAGCAGGTGTGAGATGGTGGGGAGCAGGTGGGAGATGGTGAGGAGCAGGTGTAAGATGATGGAGAGGAGGTGGGAGATGGTAGAAGAGGTGTGAGATGGTGGGGAGCAGGTGTGAGATGGTGGGGAGCAGGTGTGAGATGGTGGGGAGCAGGTGTGAGATGGGGAGCAGGTGTGAGATGGTGGGGAGCAGGTGTGAGATGGTGGGGATCAGGTGTGAGATGGTGGGGAGCAGGTGTGAGGTGGGGAGCAGGTGTAAGATGGTGGGGAGCAGGTGTGAGATGGTGGGGAGTAGGTGTGAAGTGGGGAGCAGGTGTGAGATGGTGGGGAGCAGGTGTGAGATGATGGAGAGGAGGTGGGAGATGGTAGAACAGGTGTGAGATGGTGGGGAGCAGGTGTGAGATGGTGGGGAGCAGGTGTGAGATGATGGAGAGGAGGTGGGAGATGGTGGGGAGCAGGTGTGAGGTGGGGAGCAGGTGTAAGATGGTGGGGAGCAGATGTGAGATGGTGGGGAGCAGGTGTGAGATGGTGGGGAGCAGGTGTGAGATGGTGGGGAGCAGGTGTGAGATGATGGAGAGGAGGTGGGAGATGGGGAAAGAGGTGGGAGATGGTGACAGCCAGGTCCTCTTACCTGATTTCACACCTGCAGAAACACCTGCCCTCAGTGCATTTAATGTCCTGGTGACACATTTCAGAGAGTCGCAGGACACATGCGGCGTTGGTGTTGGCTCCTTGGGACTGACCTTCCCAAGTCTCACTTTCCTCGTCTGTGACATGAGGGTGCACATTTCTCCCTCAGGGTGGCAATGTTGGCCTCGTGCCTGGCGTACTATAAGGTTGCCAAGTTGTCGCTGTTGTTGTTTTGGGGACTGGCTGGGGATGAAATACAATAGAAGATGGGCTGCTCCTGCTGCAGTGCATGGAACTCAGCAACCACCATCCCCGGCCGCTTTTGCCTTTTGTCACCAGCTTTTCCACATTCCTCTTTCTGCCTGTGCGGCTTCCACATCCTCGGCCTCGCCCCACGTGCCTTACCCTGCCAGGTAGGCGGAGTGCAGCCGCCATGGGACTGACCTTGCCTGGGCAGGTGCACTCCCACAGGACGCACTGAAGCCTGAAAGGTCTTCTAGCCCCAAAGACACTGATCACATAGACGGGAGGAGGGCTTCCTGCACCCCCCACGACAGTTCCTGCAGATAAGCCAGTGGGACCAACCCAGGGCCATTTTGCCCCCCACTCCAGGACGTTTGGAGACATCTTTGGTTGTCATAAGGGGAAGAGCGCTACTAGCACCTAGGGAGCGGAGGCCAGGGTGCTGCCAACCCTCACGCCACACTCAGGGTGCCTCCCGCAACAGAGCGTCGTCCGGGTGCAGATGCAGATGGAGCGGAGGGCGAGAAGGCCCGAGACTGGCAACACGGGGCAGCTCTCCATAGACACGGGAGCTCGGCCAGGAGCCAAAGCGCAATGATGGAGGTTGAGGAAAGAAGGCTGCACGCAAAGAAGAGTCGTCTCTTTAGGAACAGGGTTGAGGGGGCGGGAGAAGCACTGATGTGACGAAGGTTCTAGAGCTGCATCTTGAGTGTTGCGGGCTCTCCAGGCAGAGAAACTTGGGAGGGGGAAGCTGGGAGGGTCCCGGGGCCACCTGGGCCACTGTAACCAGGCCCTGGGTACCATTCCTGTTAATGGCAGTGTGTGGCCTTGAACGCCCCAGGCCACGGGTCAGGACCCGGACGTGGTGCTGGGTCAACTCTGTCGCCGTGCCGGAGTCGGGGCTGGGGCGAGAGGCTTCCCTGCACGGCACAGCTTTGGCACCGGGGCCTGGGGACACAGCCAGAGGCCACTGCTCACTGGTGTGGGCGTGCCTCTGCGTGTGCGCTTTCTGTTGTTTTTAAAAATCCACTAGAGGGTATATCCATGCTAAGATCTTCTGGCCGGTGAGACAAGTGGCATTTTGTGTGAACTTAGGCTCCTGGCCCTGGGTGGTGAGGGGAATGAGGAGGGGGTGGGTGACAAAAAATGGGGTTATTGATTCCCGCCCCTCCCCGCTGCAGCCTTCCCCTGCCAGGCGATGACAGCAAGGTGGTTTGTGAATTCATGGAGACAGCCAGCCGCGATTCTCCTGGCGATGACAGACACCATTTGGGAAGTTGAGCAGGGAAAAAGACAAGGACGGCAGGAGCAGGTTCCAGGGACGGCATCCGACAATTCTGGGAAGGGAGTTCTTCCTGCCTGTCCCCTTCCCCACCTCCCCCGGATCCACGTCTCCACGGTGGCCTGGCCTGGCATGGCCGGGTGGCCTTCACCCTCTGGACAGAGCCGGGAGGAGAGCGTGCCTGCCTCGGGAGGTGTGCGAAGGTTCTAAGTGGAATAGCCAGGAGCCCTTCTGAAACCTCACTCTGCAAGCCCGCCCACCCTCAGCGCTCCCCCGTGCTCGTGGCGGCCTGGAGAGCTGGGGTGCAAAGCCCCAGACGGTGCGGCGACTGAGCTGGAGGCGGGCCGGGGTGAAGGTGAATGGAACTGTGTCATTTTACTGTCCACCCTGATGTCAGGAGGCACAAGGGGGTGTCATCTGGGAGGGCTGAGGGTGGAAGGAAGTGGGAGAGTTGGGAGCAGTGGGCGTCTGCCCCAGGAGAGGGAATCACAGGTATTCTAGGGGTCCAGCAAGAGAAGCAAGCACCTCTCTGCAGGCAGTAGGTCTGGGCCGAGTCAGGAACAAAACTCGCTATTTTTAATTTGGACGCACAGGCAGGTTGGGAATTTGAGGGAACATTTGCGGCTGGGATCTGAGTTCAGAAGTAGTAGGCTCTTTTCTCTTTTTTCCTACTGATGCTGCCTAGAGGGACGTAAACACTGGACTATGCACTTGTGTATAAAGAGAACTGAACCCAAAGCCCCAGCTCAGCTCCTGGCTTGCCCTATGGCTGTGGGCAGGTCACGTAATCTCTCTGAGCCTCAGTTAAACTCATAGAAGAACAGGGAAGAACACCCCCTTATTTGGCACGTTCATGTCTCCAAAAGTATACTGAAGATCCAAAACAAAACTAAGTACCTTCATAGGTATGTAAATGCACAGAACAGCCTGGAAGGATGCAGAAATGTGGGCCCGTGTGGTTACTTTAGGTAAGTAGAATACAATCAGTAGGAAGGGATTTCCCTTCAACTCTTTGGTTTGATTCATATATATATATATGAAACAAGAAGATAATATTTATTTTTACTATTTGTTTCTTAAAGGAATGATTTTAAATAAATAATTTTAGAGGAAGAAAATATTTAATTTTCTTGGAAGTCCTTTCTGGATGTGATAGAGCATACTGGATGGAGGGTACACTCTTGCTATGGTATAGAAACTCAGGCAGTCTGTGGTCCAAGTGCCCACTGGCGGTCTCCAAGGCAGACTGTCTATTCTCTTTCTCTGTATCCAGGAGCAGTAAGTCTATCCTCTCAGGAGGAAGAGGATTAATCTCTTTGGAGATTTGTTAACTGCAAATGAGAGCCACCTTTAAGCCTGTCACTAACTTCACCCAGGTTGGTGCCCCTCTGAAGGCCCTGATCTCTCCGCTCGCTACACCACGTTGACACCTATATCAATCATTACCATCCCCTGTGTGGTTTTGTGAGAATTTTAGGCAAGAATGTCAGGATAGGATCAGCTCAGTTGTGGTAACAAATAAAGCACCAAAACTCAGCGGCTTAACCCTACCACGATTTATCTCCCTCACCCCCACAACAGCCCGGTGTGAGCCAAGTGAATCTCTAGGGCACCTCTCTTCCAGGTGGTGACTCAGGGTTCTGGTTGTTCCTATCTTGCAGCTACACCATGGCATCGTGTAACTTCCATGGTCACTACAGCCTGCCAAGAGAAAGCTGGAGGACCACACAGGGGCTGACATCACTAGGAATGGAAATGGCATACATCAATTCCTCCCATGTCCCATTGGCCAGAAATGGTCACATGGCTCCAATCTAATTGCAAGGGAATCTGGGAAAGGTAGGAGAGCACATGGCTATTTAGTGAGAATTTAATGTCTTGGTCACAATAGGAAAAATTGAAAAATATGAACTAGACACAAATAAGTGCTATGTCTGTAAACATAGCCCACATGGGAGGCTGTTCAGTAGCTCATGGGTTCCTTGAGGTCAGCAATTCTCTTATTAGTTTTTACCTCCATCCCAGTTCTGTTGATTAAAACAATGGCGTATCTTTGCAGAGAGTCTTTACTTAATGTTAGCCAAATTGAGCCACTACCCTTACCAAAAATGCTTTTTATTACAACTTCTCTTTGGAATTTTTCTTCTTAGCCAGTTTACAATTGCACAAGGAGATCAAGTGCATTTTTTTCTTGTTCTTTCCTTTTTTTACTTCTGTCCCTCCACGTTAGATCTTTGGAAAGACTTAAAAGTAAGAAAAACGGATGATATTGGTCAAGAGGAAGTAAGCAAAGACACAAATAAATAATATGAATGAAGAATGGAATATCGCTACAGATATAACAGAGATGAAAAAAACCTCTCAGTCACTCTATCTCAATACATTTCTTTGAAGTCTCACCTGTTTTGTTTTAATCCAAAGAGCCATTACCCAGCTTGACCATCTTTTTCTCTACCAAACTTGACCTTTGCCTATTTTCTAACAATCAATTATATTGTTAAAATAAGATGTGGTTGAGTTTCTGAGGGATATATTGCAGACTCTGAAGGTACCCCCAAACAAGTATGAGGACTTGACTATTTGGTGTATCATTGGAATATAACCTCCTTAAGGTCCAAGTTTGAAAGATGATCCTGCTCTTGTAGGCTTAAGGACCCATGGTTCCTATTAAAAAATTACTAGTCCTCATTAATCTTCAATTATGACTTCAACAGCTTCAGAATTAACTCGCCTGACTCCCTCCCTGAATAACATGGATTTTTAAAAGCTGGAAAAAAAAAGCTGAAGAGTGATTTAAGATCCAAGAAGAGGTGAGTCTTAAGGGCTATTTTAGAAGTACCATTGCCCCAGAGATAGGACGACTTGCAGTAAAAGCTGAGCCACGATGCATAGATGCGCCATTTTCCTTTAGAAATGTCTTTCTTATGAGGACAGCCCTTCAGCTCCTCCTGCCGTTCCTTGCAGTTTCCTGCCTGTGACAGGCCCCTAGCTGCTGTCCCTGTCTCCATAATTCTGTCAGATATCCCTACCAGATTAATTTTCCAAAAATTCCTCTCTGATCACTGATCATGCTACTCCTAGAGGGAAAAAAATACTTGGCCTGCTGAAATGACCCTACACTACCCGGCCAATTTTAGTATTTTCTGCTTCCTGACACACACCCTCTTTTCCAGTCATGTTCATCTCCTCCACATGCCATAAACATGCCACCCTTGTCCTGTTGTCTCTGTGCTTTTGTGCATGTTACTCCACAATCCTGGAATGCAGTCCCAGGTCTACATGGTAGGAATGCTTAAATTTACACAGAGAACGGACTCCTGGTTTGTCATTTAAAGTGCAGTTGGGTGAAGCAAATCCCACTCGATAGTATTGGATGTTTAGCTTGAGAAGTTGTCTTGATGTGTGAGTTGTCCTTGATTGGCTGAGAGCCCAATCCTTAGTTTTGTATTTTTCTGCCTCTCGGTTGCTGCCAACCTCTAAAGCAACATTTAAATGCTTCAAGGAATTTCCTTTAATAAAAGCATCATCTTTGATAGAAAGTGAGGAAGTCGCCTCTGCATTTTTAAGATTTGTTGTTAAAAGCTTGATTTATTGTCAACTGTGTTTTCTTAAAATGGGGCCTACTAGTATGTGTCAAACAACTTCTCTCTAATTTGAGATTCCAGGACGATATACACCAAAGCCATCTTTAGGGTTTTATGTCACCACATCCTCAGGGATTTTCTCTTCTCACTACACTGCTATTGTGTAGGCCTGGGCTTCAGCCAAGACATATATATCTGTCACACATCAGAGGGCTGGCCAGGTGAGGTTTGGTTTTGTTTTGTCTTGATGGGAAAGGATTATGTGACTGCATATTTTGGGGCTCATTAGCCCTTGGACTAAGACCTCTTGGCTATTGATAAAAAGGGTCATCTTGTCCTCCTAGGACTTTGTACTGAATGTGGGAAAGGAGAGCAGTCTGGCAGGAGAGGGTGTTCCAGCTTGATGTGTGCATGATTTCAGAACCATTTGGGGAAGTGCTAGTGTTACTCAGGCTTCTGGACTGGTTTTCTTGGAACAAGTTCCAGAATTCTCTGGAGATGGGAGCTGTAAAAAGAGGGAAGAAAATAAGAGTGGTTCACTCTTTATAGTATCGGTGGCCTCAAGACAGCTGTGTCTTGTGACCCAGCATACAATGGGTGAGTTGTGACTATAGCAGAAGGGATGGCATGTGAGTTTCAAGGCTTGGTTCTTTTGGAAGGCTCACTCTTGGGACCCAGCCGCCATGATGTGAGGAAGCCCAAGCAGCCACATGGAGGGGCCATGTGTAGGTGTTCCTGCCGACACCCACTGCTGGGGTCACAGCCTACAGCCTGCATCACCTACCACGTATGCTTTAAGATGATTCCAGCTCTCAGCCTCCAAGTAAGCTCCACGCAGATCTTCCCAGCTGAAGTCCTAGACACATGGAACAGAGTCATCTACTCCATGCACCCTTTTAAAGTTTCTATCTTAGAGAATCCATGGGCATAATACAATGATTGGTATCTTTAAAAATATATATGTACCACTAAGCTTGGGGAGATTTCTTGTGCAACAGTAAATGGGACAGAGAGCTACTTCTCTGAGGCAGACAGAAAGGATTTGGGGATTAATGAATGAGTTCTCCAGGGAATGAGGCTGGCAGTTACAATGATATCTGAATTCTCTGAGTATCTCAACTCACCCAGGTCCTACCTTTCTGATCTGGAAACTCAGAGGTCAAATAGAAATAGGAGAAAATGAGGGCAATTTGTGAGGCTCCAAGGACTCTAACCTCTTGATCTTAAGAGGAGATTTGGATTGGGGCTGCAGTTTCAATGACTGCCCTCATGAGAGAGAGACAGGGAGGAACTGCTCCCTTCCTGCCTTTGGGACCCTCGTGTACTCCAGGCTGGAGACCTTAGAAACCCTAGTTACATCTATTACATTCAGAGTAGAGTCAAAGAGGCTTGCAGGACTCGTTCCTTATTGCTAAGAGAGCCAGGGAGTAAAACCTTGCTAAATAACCTAAGACTCTGGTTGACACTTGTGAATCTTTCTGGAAAATTCTAAGTAGCTAATATGGAGAGAGAAAAAAAATGGCCTCAACTCATTCCTGTGGTGCTGATTTGGCACATCACTGTCTATGCCTCTTCTAGGGAACTTCCCTGTACAGGAAGGACCCAGGGTTATGCAGGATTAGGTTGGGCGTGGGGTGCAGGGAAAGCCAATGTCCTTTGTCTCCACTAACCTTCTCTCAACTCCTCTCCTGAATCTCTCCCAAATGCATGGCTCAGGGTGAAGCTGCGTGAGTGTCATGAAATTAACCTCCCCAGAATATGATGACACCTCTCTTGGAAGGTTGGGAAAGGTGTGCCAGTCTTTGGGCATCAGCTCAGGGACTACTTCTAGGCAACCTTTCCTGAGTCCTCCCCCAACCCCCTTTCCTCTTGCCTGTGTGCCTGATGACCTAACTGCCTCACCTAGTGGACCGTGAGCTCCTTAGGGTGCTGTCTTTAGTCTTTATATCTCTACTACACTCTCCATTCTGAGCACACCTTACTCAAGAAATGTTTGGTAGGAAAAAAAATCCCATTGTCAGCACTTGATGTCTTTCAGGAGTTTTCTCCCTATGTAGCCTTTTTTATTTTTGGCATAGTGAACATACAATTTTGTGTCTTGCTTTTTCTTTTTGCTTACGGTAGTTTAGATGTATTTTCTCTATAGTCACATAATTTCAAAACGTAGTAATAACAATTCTATTTATTACATATCTGCTGTGTGCCAGGTATGGTGCCAGGGATTCTACACACAGTTTCTTATCTAATCTTTCCAGTTTGCAAGGTGGGTGTGATTAGCCCCATTTTACAGATGGAGAAACTGAGGCTTAGAGAGCTTAAACAGCTTGTCAACAATAACCAGCTGGTAAAGACTAGATTGGTCCCTCTGATTTCCACATTCGTATTCCTGCTATTTTACCGTGCGGCTCCCCATCATTTTAAGTGGCTTCCTATAACCTACTCTTTCTCATGGAGGTGCCATAATTTGCTTAGCCATTCCCCTATTTTGGGTCATTTAGGATATTTACTAATTTTAGATATTATAAACAATGAGGCAATGAACATCATTGTGCTAACAGATTTCCCCCCTATTTTTGGATTATCACCTTGGAATAGAGTCCCAGAAGTGGAATTACTGGGTTAAAGGGTAGGACTGTGTTTATGGCTTTTGATACTTATTGCCAAATTGCTTTCCCGGAGGACTGTGTTTAGTAAAACAGGCTCACTTTATAGGCCCAGGGGAGTCACCTCCCTCGGCCAGGATGTCAGGTTGCCCTCTAACCACTAGAGGGTGTGAAAGGCTATCGCTCAAGTGACAATAACCTAGTCCCCTGGAGGAAATCCCCAAATTTGCTCCAGGAGTCTTCAGAGTTGCCTGGGAGGGAGAGGAGGATGCTCAATTAGTTGGAAGCTCCGTACTGGAATGGACTGACTTTCTTGGATTTCCAATGAAGTCAGGAGGGTGCATGATCTGGCCCTTGGAGGAGACTGCAGTAAACAGGGCCTCAGAGGCCCAGAGTTTGAGGTTGCCTATGCCACCTCCTGCTTCGTGACCTTGGGGGATTGACCCTCCCCTGTGTGTCTCTGTTTTAGGACTTTGAACCTCAAATCTCAGCGCCGATTAGACTGGCCGAACTCTGAGCTTCTCCGGTGTAGAGAGTGTGTCTTGCCTGTGTTTGTATTGTCCACAACAGCAGCACTTAATAAGGGCACAGTCAATGGTGGCTTTTGTCAATAGATAAAACGAAACCGGAAGCCGAGAGTGGACACGGGGAGGTTGGCACAGGGCAGCACAGGCTCCCAGTTCTCGAAGGTGGTTTATTGAAGAGGGATGTTGGCTGCTTAACTCCAAGATGTTGAAGATGGAAAGATACTTAGAGATCATCTGGTTCACATTCCTGGGAAGAAACAGCAGCCCAGACAGTTAAAATGATGACAAGGCTTTCTTTTCTATTTTTAAAAATTTAACCAACGTTTATTGAGCACCTACAGTGTGCTGGGCGCTGTGTCAGGCACTGGGGCAAGAAAGATGATTGTGAGAAGCCCCTGCCTTCGGGGAGCTTATAGTTTGTGCAGGGAGGCGAGCCCCCCCCCCACCCCCCATGTTAAACACTAAACAAAGGGTGTGTCCTCTGAACAGTGAGGGTAAGGAAGACACAAAGTTGGAAAAACAGGAATTGCCTCAGAGAGTCCTAGAGAAGCACTTTTCAAAATGTATTCCTTGGAACACTTGTTCAATTGGACATTTTAAAAAATTTGTACATATTTATGATGCACATGTGCAACTTTGTTACGTGCATAGATTGTGTAGTGGTCAAGTTAAGGCTTTTAGGGTATTCATCACCCAAATAATGCACATTGTACACATTAACTAATTTCTCAGCATCCATCCCCTTACCAACCCCTCACCCTTCTAAATCTCCATTTTCTATCATTCCATACTCTATGTCCATGTGTGCACATTTTTAGCACCTGCTTATACGTGAGAACGTGTGATGTTTCACTTTCTGTGCCTGGCTTGTGTCACTTAAGATAATGACCTCCAGTCCCGTCCATATGGCTGCGAAAGACAAGATTTCATTCTTTTTTATGGCTGAATAGTATTCCACTGTGTATACATATCACATTTTCTTTATCCAATCCTCTCTTCATGGATGGATACTTAGGTTCATTCCATAGCTTTGTTATTGTGAATAGTGCTGTGATAAACATGTGAATGTGGGTATCTTTTT